CCGACTCTTCTAAGGGTTCAGAAGCTACCGCCTGGCCATTAGCAAGTGCAGGAGCACGTTTTGATTTCTTTTTCATAGCATCCAGCGTAAGAAAAGCCGCAAATTTCTTCTCTTTCCGTATTTTATCTTCTTTCTTATCATAGTAGTTTTTCAAAAGCACACGAACTTGCGAGGATAACTTTTGATCTATAACTGCTAGGTCATTGATTATATTTCTGTAAGCAACCAGCCGTTCGATAACGGGGTGACTATGAACAGGTATCCGCTTTGACTTCAGAACCAAGTAGAAACTGATATTGGCACAGTAATTCAGGTAGAGATTATACTTGGTCTGCAGATAGCGACTACCTTTCCCCTGTGGGATAGTACCATTTCTGACCATTTGCAGCAGCGGGTGCAGTTCGTCCTTGAGCTCCATTAGCTTGACTTCAAAGTCCTCGATCAGCTGCAGGAGCTCAGGGGACTCCTGCTTCAGGAGCTTCAGCTGCTCCTTTTTGGAAAGGGCTTGCAAATCCTTGTCAATCTTCTGCCCCTTGCTATCCTGAGTTTTCTGCTGCTCAGCCAGATAGCCCTGGATGACATCCAGCCCGTAATCATCTTCCCCCAAGTCCTGCACTAACCTCCTCTGAATGACTTGAGCTTCCTGCTCCTCTTCCTCCTCCTCCGCGTCAACTTCTTGCTGGCTACGCTTGCCTTTGGCCTGGGCATCGCTCCCATAATCTGTGTCGTAGTAGACCTGCTTGCGTTGGCCCCAGGACAGCTCATGGGGAAGCCTGGCATCTTGACGGCGCTCCTCCAAGTCACTTTCCATGGACAGGTCTTCGTCCTCTACCTCATTTTCCTCCTCCTCCTCCTCACCTTCTCCATCTGCTTCACCTTCTCCATCTGCTTCACCTTCTCCATCCTCTTCTGCACTATGATCAATGTAAAGATTCAGCTCCTCCTCTTCTTCCTCCTCTTCCTCCTCTTCAGGGTGTCCATCCTCTTCGCTGTCCTCCTCGGGCAGCTGCAGCCCCAGCACTTCTTCCTCCTCCTCCTCCTCCT